GATTCACGCTGGCGGATTGGGACAGCACACACTGCAGGCACTGATGCATGGCCTCGAGAGCTTGAAGAACCACGGCTGAGTGCGGGATCGGCGCCATGGGCCCCGATCATAAAGATCCCGCCCACGGCGAGCTCGCAGACGCTCGCCTTACCATACAGCGCCAAGCTTCTGAGCTGGCCCAGCTGCGCGAGGTTGGTACCACCACTCCTCAGCGCACCCTCCCTCGTGAACAAGAAGGAGAAGGAGACCAACTTTGAGCTTCATGGCAACCCACCCTTACGATGGTCATCTGCATCGGAAACATCTGGTGTTAGGCATTGCAGAGCAAGACTGACACATTGCGCCTCGCCTCTGACCGTCATGCCGAGTCAGTTCATCATGCCTTGGGCTCTTTGCACTTCGCGCTCGCCTTTCCGATATCATCCGCATGTCCATCCAGATACTCACCACCGCGGCCTGACCTGATTCGCTACCTTGACACACGCCACACAGAGAGCTGCAACAAGTTCGCGTGGAGCAACATGGCGCAGATCGTGCTGATTTGATCCAGCAGCTCACAGCTGCCATGGCGGCTCGCGAAGCTGCAGAGCGAGAGCTCGCGCCGCTACAAGAAGAGCTGCGCATTCTCAAAGCTCAGCAAGCTGGACAAGCATCCGGCGCAGTTCCGAGCATCTCCTTTGGTCCTCATGACGTTGGTGCCGCAGGAGCGCCCACAAATCAAATCCAACAGACCCTGCTTCAGGAAATGCTTGTCCTCAAGTGGAAAAACTCTCGGCTTCACGTCAAACTCGATCGCCTTCAGGCCGAAAATGTCCGCTTGCGCACTCAGGTTGGACTTGACCCCCGTTTCAGTTTGGCCTTGCATCAACTTTCTTCCCTTCGGGCTGCTCGGTTCTGCCTCTCATCCAACGCCTTCTCGCCTCTCCCGCACATACCCTCGTACTCGCACACTCTCTCAGCTGGAATCTAGTGAGCGACGTGAGGCCGCCACACCAAAGGCCGCCACCCAGCCACAGTCTACCGAGGCTGCTCCTTCGGGAGCTGTACAGGCCCGATTGGAAGACCTCGAGGGTGCCCTGGCTCTTGCTGATGCCTTGCGCCAGCAAGCCGAAGAGGCGCTGGCGCGCGAGCGCGAACGAGCTGATCGTCTTGATCACCGCTTACATGACAACCCCACCAAGGCCAGCAACACAACCCCAAGCGCTGCAGTTGCAACCACCGCCACCGATCGTGACGAACTAGAGGCCAAGTTGCGCTCGACTGAAGCTGAGCTCAAGACCCTGCAGGGTCTCAACGCCCAGCTCGAGGAAGCCGACCACTTGGCTACCAAGCGCCAAGAAGAGCTCCGCATGCTTCGCGATCAACTGCAACGTCAAACACGTCTTTTGGATGCGGTTCGTGCTTTGCTCGCCCACGCTTTGAGAATTATAAAGACCGCCTTCCACCTTGCCCGCCGTCCAACCTGCTCACGACACCTCCATTTCATGCCGGGCCAACCCGTTTCTTCTCCTGATAGCTTGAGGCCGCAAACACGGATGGCAGTGCTGATGAGCTTTTAAAGGCGGATCCCAATCAGCTGGCTCGCGCCCTGCAACTGTCCCAGGAACATAGGGATATGTTGGATGATCAGCTACAAGCTGAACGAGCCGTTGCTTTAAAACTTGCCGAGGAGCTACGCCAAGCCCACCGCCAGGTATGACTGCAACATCACTGTCAGCCTTAGTGATCAACCTGCTCATACGCATGCCTGTTCCTTCGCCACATATTCGGACTTGATCTGGACTCAACCACTAGGCGGAAGCCGCCAATGCCCGTCGGGAAGCCAACGATCAAGTCCTTCGTGCCCAAACCTCTCAGCTCGAGCGGTCTGTCTGATTCCCACTTTTTGCCGAAGAGAAAAGCAAGGGACACCCACAAAAACGTGCACCGTAGCAATCAAGTCTTGGTTGGCCACGGGCATGTGTTTTCAACTGACACTCGACGCCCTTGAACGCAACCACTCGTTAGGCGCTTGCAAGATCGAACTGCCCCCGGCACCGGACAAACCACAAATACACACATGGAGAAGGTTTGGCCAATATTCTCGTCAATGCTGCCCCGATTGGCTCCAAAGGCATTCATGCGCTTGCAATCTCTCTTTTAGCTGTCCGCTCTAACCACCTGACTTTTGGACCATGTGTATCCGTCTCAACAGGAGCTAAAGGACCTGCATCTCCAACTGGATGATGTTGTCCAGCGCAACGCAGAACTCAATTCGCGCCTGCAAACGGCGCAGCACGCCGCGTATGTTTCTGAGAGCCAGGCGGCTCAGCCTCGATGGTTTGCTTGGAGTCGCGATTCAGAACTTGCGATGCTTGCCCTAGCCACATCTGACAATGTCTGCTATTGTGTGCTGGCTCTTGCTGCTCCATAGCCAAGCAGCCCAGACAGCCATTGCGGAGGAGAAGAGTCGAGCCAAAGCCTTACAACGCGAACTGGACCACTTGGACGACCAGCTGGCCTCAGCTACGCAAGGTGGCGATGTGGGCACCCAGGTTTGCACTTAATTTGGGCCTGACTTGAATCGTCAACGTCAAGTGCCTACCCCGTGACACATAAAATCCTTTTCGTACTTCGCCAAACTCAAGAGGTCACAAATCACTCGCTTTGTAGGCATTGCACAAAGAAAATGCACGCCTGCGGCATGCGCTCATCTCGTCGCGCGCACGCCAAGCACACCTCGAGGCTCAGCTGGAGCAGACTGACGTCATGGCTGCAGAAAGTGCCGGACTACAGCAGCGTCTGATCGCTGAGCGCGCTCGCGCAGATCGTCTTGATCATGCCATTGCAGGCGCCGGTGCCACATACGGCACAGCTGCTGAGCGCAACCGCTTGCTGGCCATGGAAGCTGCTGACGCAGCTGATGGCGATGCTAGTGCGAACAAAGAGGGGCATGAAGAGCCTCAAGCTACGCCCGAGAAGGCCAAAGTCTCCGAGGACCTTGCAAATGATACCGCCTCTACCGGCCCCCTACGCTCGCTGCTAGCTGCCACACGTTGGCAGCTAGCAGCTGCGCAAGGCCGCTTGTCTCGTTTGCGCGCACAAACCTTTGACGAGCGCAGCGCGCATGCCGACGAACGTCGGCGCTTGCAGCGGGACTTGGCTGCGTGCCAGGCAGACAATGCAACGCTGGCAGAGCGATTGTCTCAGCTTATGGCAGAAGCGTCTCATGACGCACTGCATCAACCTGCTTCAGCCCAAACCGTACGTTCGGCAGAAGCAACCCGCCAACTGCAGGAGAAACTCACGGCAGCTCGCCAGGAAGCCAGTGCTGCACGGGATGCCAACCACAGTGCCAACGCACGCACGCTGGAGGTTGCTCGCGAACTAGGTCAGACCAAGGCTCAACTGGCCGAGGTGCGCGACAGGGCAGCCTCGCGACCCGGCTCAAGCCGTGGAGGGGACACCTCCAAGGATGCCATGGCACGCCAGGAACTACACCGTACTGCCGAGCGCAATGCAGTGCTGGAAGCAGAGATTGCTGAGCTGCGACAGCAAAACGCTCAAAATGTGGGAACTCCTGCCCATACTCCCTCTTTTGCGCCTGGTAAAGCAAGCGCAGCGATCGCAGTCGGCACTGACGAATTACCAGCCCGGACGAGAGGATTGGAGACGGAGGTTGACAATCTGCGCCGTCAGCTTGAGACGGCGCGCGACCGCGCGGCTGCTGAAAGAACTGAGACCCACGAACAACAAGCTCGCTTGGAAGCTGAGCTGGCGGCAAGCGCACAGCATATCGAGGATCTTCAACGCCGTTTGCGCGCACAGCGTACGGGCAGTAGTCAGCCTCCAAGCGATCTTGAAATCAAGCTTGAAGATGCCCTGGCGCGCCTCCAGGAGCTGCGCGCTGAAAACGATCGCTTGCGCGAACAGCAACGAAGGCGCGTGTTTGAGAAGCGCTCGGCGGCCATGGATGCACTGCGGCGAGCCCGTGGTCATTCACGCGCCTCCATTTCTGCAGCCCAAGACGTGTTGTCAGAGGCCGCGGCCCGCCGCGAGAAGGAAGGCGGTCGCGCCAACACACATTACCATGAACACAGCGAGATGGTCTTGGAGACAGTCCGCTCCACTGATCAAGACATCGAGCACGCCTTGACTATTCTAGAGGAGGACGTGACCATCGACACTGCGGGCAACCCGCACGACGGTCATGAGGAGGAGAATGACCATCTTCGACGCACGTTGAAGTGCAAGGAAACAGAGATCTACGAGCTGGAGATTCGTGAACGCCGCCACCGCCGTCGAAAGCCCAAACACGAGAGCGACGAGCTGGAAGAGGCGCGTCGCTCGTACAACGAGGCCCTGCAAGCTTTGGATATCCTGACCGAAGAAAACGCCCGCATGGCCGAAGCCATGGACAAGCAGCGGGCTCGGTTTGAGGAGGAGCTGGCTCGCGTGCGTGCTGAAAAGTCACGCCTGGAGGATTCCTTGGTGGAGGAGCGAACCATTGTGCAGCGAGAGCGTGCGGCACCCAATAATGAAGCCGAGCTCCAGCGCACAATTGGACTCAAAGATCAGAGCTTAGCCTTGCTTGAGCAGCGGCTGCGAGCCCTAGAAGCGGATAATGCCGACCTGACAGCGCAGGTGGACGCAGCAGCTGCACGTCGACGGGCAGCTGAGGATCGTTTGACTGAACTTCAGGCACAGCTTGACGCTGAGCGTGCCAAAAATGCTGCCTTGGAAACTGAGCGCGATAACCTAAAGCGCCATGCGGATGATGTGGCGCACCAGGAGCGCCACCGAAGTGACGCGAGTCGGGCCCGTGAGGACGAGCAGGCACGAGAATTGGCGCGCGAGAAGGACCTGAATCGTGAGTTGGAAAAACATCTCCGTTTGGCTGAGGATGACATTCGGCGTTTATCTCAAGCCCTAGATTCAGCCTCTCGAGATCGCAGTCAGCTGACCGAGGACCTGCGAGCTGGCGAGGCGCTACAAAGCAAGCTGGATGATGCACAGGTTGGGTGCCTTGGCTCATTTCTCGGTGTCAAGAGCGCCAGGTGTGGCAGACTGGACTGGTGCTCAACTCACACCTGTGCTTGAATGTGTATGTGATGGGCCGTTTAATAGGCCAAGTGTGATGAATTGCAGGCAAAGAACGATGCACTCACCCGCGAGCTCGCCGATCGTGAGCGCGCCCTCCGTGACGCCCAACGCCAGGTAAATTAGAGCTCTCACTCGTACAGATGAACACATGAACCTCTCACGGCTTGTGGATGCGTCAACTTAGACACGCGATGTAGACGGTGAAATGGACGCTCTTCAGCAGCGCCTTCGTGCAAGTGAGGCGGATCGCAACGACCTTTCGCGAGAGAATTCCAAGCTCCGCCGCGATTTGAACGATCGTGATGAGGAGATTGCTCGCCTCAAGCAACGCATTCGCGAGGTACGTCACTCATAGACAAAGCTACGTTTATATTGGCCTGTTGAGAGCATCCATCCTCCTCTCTTTTCTCTCTCTCTCTCTCTCTCTCTCTCTCTCTCTCTCTCTCTCTCTCTCTCTCTCTCCCTTTCTCTCCTCTCCCTCTCCCTCTTCCTCTCCCTCTCCTTCTCTTGGTCAAAGCTACTGCCATTGACTTGACCTTTCGTGTTTTGGCTGGCACACATAGCTTGAAGACGAGCTGGATGCCTTGCGTCACCTTCTGGCTCAGCTATTAGGCATTCCAGTGTCACAGGTCACTATTCCATACTTGAAAAGCTTGGGGCCTCTTATTCCCGTGGATCGTGCCAAGAAGCAGGTTTGTCCTAGGCGATGAGTACTCTTCATGCCCTTGATCTTTGGCAGACACTTTTTCACTGTCTTCGGACTGCCTCTTTATGTTCCCCGCGCGACTTACAAACATCAGTTTGGTCAGGAGGCGCAGCCGGCAATTTCACCACGCCAGCAAGAACTGCTTGAGCGCCTCAAGCAACCTGAAGAAAACGGCTCGGCCAGTCGTGCCTCCGTATCTTCCATGAGGTGGGTATGCATTAGGCCTATCCCTGGTACCTAGGAACGAGCTTACCGGCCGTGTTTGCTTAGCTTTGGGCCAGTCGAGGGTGGTCGGCAAGATCCTCGTCGCTCAGCAGCGTCACGCTTGGGGCGGCCTGACTCGTGGTCTCGCGCTGGGAACAACGGAGCAAGTGCCGGCCCAGAGGGACACTCTCCGATGCACGGCTCGCGTAGCCTGCATGCCTCTGGGCATGGGCCCGGTGCTGCTGAGCGTCGTGGTCCTCACATGGGCCCATCTCGCTCGGCGTCTACGGGTGATCGCCCCCGCCGATACATTGCCATCTACGACCATGAACCGGATGCCGCCGCTCAGCCCGGGTATGTAATTGAGGCTTGCATCGTTGGCTGATGGAGCGCCTGTTTCTCAACTACGATCGCTTTATTGTTGCTTTGTGCTGCAATTTGATCAGGGAGATTCCAATGCGCGCGTCGGACGCTGTCACACTTTTAGGCCCTCCTCGACCGGATGGGCTGGTGGAAGTCCGCATTAACAATGCCCGTGGCCTGGTGCCTTATGATTACCTTGAGCCCATGAACTCGCCCTACCAGACGCCTCGCACCCACCTCTTGGGCCAGATGGCAAGTCCACGAGACATGACACGCGGCGGGTACGTTAATTTGATCAGATCACAGGCGTGCTTTGTCGCGTCAACGCCGCTCCATGCTGCCTCGTGATTGCATTGCTGTCTTGCCCTCGGCCCTTAACCTTCTCGTGTCGTATCGTATCTCTGCATTGCATCCGAGTAGGGACCGAGGTGGGGCACGATCCGCACACCTAGCCGGTGCCTCCAAGCAGATGGTCGCAAAGCTGGACTATGATCCGCGTCGCGATGGCACAAACACCACAATTCCCGTTGAGGACCAGCTGCCCTTGCGCCGAGGCGATCGCTTGCTGGTCAATGTGGGCGGTCGTAGCCGGCCCGATGGTTTTGTCAGAGCTCAGGTGTGCTTGCAGAATATGCTCCTCTGTGGCCCTGTTTACTCGTGTGTGTACTTGCACGCCTCTCCGGCCCTGATCCCGTGTTCGCGGCCCGGTGCATAGTCGGAGGAGGGTGATTCGGGATTTGTCCCACTGGCCTTCCTCACGGATGGGGGCAGTGGCTTACATCGAGCCCGGACATTGCTTCCAGAGCGGTCAGTGAGCGACCGATCCAATCAGGCCGTCTCTTCAGACGCGTCTGGCCATGCTTGGCATGATGCCGCGGATGATGCTGCAGTGCTTACTCGGGGGGTTTGGCTTTGATAGAACGGGAGAGTCTTATCAAGGCATGCTTGGTGGCATTGAGCGTCCTGAAGAGCACACTTCATCGGGTCATGCTCGTCGACCAGGCCAGCGGACGCTTTTGTCACAGCGCGATGTGTTGCCCATGGCACCCGAACCTACCCACCTAGAGCAGGATGAGCCAACGATGGCAGACTCGGTGCAAATGCGCCCAACTCAAGGCCGTAAGATGATGCCTCTTCAAGACGAGGCGATTTGTCACCCTGGGTGGGCCGCTTGGGCATTCGACCTGGGATTCTGTGTGTTTCCGTGCTCGCCTCACTGTAGCTATGCATAGGGTTGGGTCGTCCCAAGTCTTTGGTTGCCTCCGACACTCCCTTGAACAATGGGCTCACACGCGATGCCGTCGACGCGGAGCTTGGACCTGCACCTCGTCAAAAACGACGTGCGTTATTCGCTCTCAGCAAGGGCTGGCTTTGCAGCATTCAAGCGGGACCAATTCTTTGTGCCCCATCTCATGACCAATACTGTTCCCATTTTTTATTTTATTTTTTATTTTATTTTTTTTTTTATGATTGTAGGCATGTTCGGCCTAATTTCGACGACGAGCGACCGTTATCAGCCCTCATAGAAACGACTTCCGACCTTGCCTTTGGGGTGACGGCTCTTCGCATGGACCAGAAGGAAAATGTCCGAGGTGTTTATTCTCTGGCCTGGCCGCTCGCCTCGTTTGCTCTTGAGATCGAATTCCGGAAAAGGCCGTCTAGACTCTTCAATAGTGGACTCGTTTCATTCTTGACATTTGAATTGAGATTGAATAGGGTTTGTTTCAGTCGTGCGAGTTAAACTCTCTGTTAGCGTCAAACCTGACACGCTCCATCCTGTGGTGACTCATGAGAGAGGGCGCGACAGCCTACACCGAATGGACAAAGTTATTCTATGTCATGTCAAGACAAGACCAGCTGATATCAGAGATCGCGCCGACCTTATAAAGTACGAACATCTTTTCCATGATCACGCAAGTCTATCCTGCGTGCGAGGTTCAAGGCTTCAGCTCGATGTCCCGATGGTCACAATGCATGTAGCGATGATTTTTCGAACTTTACATTTTCAACTAAATTCATCGTAATTTTTTTGCAATTTCTATCATATTAAATTTTTCATGATTCACATGTCAATCACACAACAATATGGTGCAAAGGTTCGACTATCCGTCGGCCTTGCATGTTTGAACACGCCAAAAGAATGTTCTTAGTAAGCACGAGTCGCGGTCTCGAGGAATATGATTTTGTTATTAATGTTAACATGTCTAATTGTAGTTGTTTACATCGAGAGAGAATGCGCTTGATGCATTGTCACGCTGCCTCTTCATGCTCGTCGGCCTCCAGTGCGTCGTGGTACTCGGCAAAAACGGCAGCTTCCTCGTGTAGCAGGGCAGCCTCGGTCTTGGGGTCGAGAAGGTCGATTTCGTCCTAATCGACATGCAAGTCGTGAGGGTGCCGAGTGTTTTGACCGAACCGAGGGCTTCACAGCTCGCAGGACAAGCAGGGGACAACGGCATACCGTAAAGATATCCTTAAGTTCTTCTTCTGGTAGGTATGGTATCGCGGAGTGTTGTCGAGGCACGATCAGAGGCTGAAAACCACGGTGGTCGGGTAGGTATACGATTCGGAGCTGCGCGCACAAGAAACCCAAAGTCATGAGATTCAATCAGGGGCGCGTATTGTAAGGTGCGAATTTCGCCTGGAGAATCATCAGCGTACTTGATCAAAGACATCCCGCATTGCCAAATTCCAGGCCATGCGTCGAAAAATCGCAGGTTTGGTGATTTCACTGGCGGGTAACAACTAGATATTGGGCCGGCCAAGCCGATGCGGTATAAGATATGATGAGAGGCGCACGGCAAGATGAGTGCAGCAAGAGTGAGCGAACCAGTTTGCCGAACCTTGTGAGCGATTGTTGCATTGTCAGAGCAGGCCGCAAAAAAAGCCGTAACATCCTTGGTTGTCGCTTGGCCATCAACACAGGTCGCAAGACCAGGCACGCGAATGTGCGCCCGTAGGTGAAGATTGCCCTCTGAGCTAGGTCTGGCCGATGGGTCACCAGGGCTGGAAAAATTGATGACCTGACGTCAAGACAAGGGTACAATGGGAAGTGACCGTGTGTATGACAGCAAACAGCCGGAGAGAGAGAGAGAGAGAGAGAGAGAGAGAGAGAGAGAGAGAGAGAGAGAGAGAGAGAGAGAGAGAGAGAGAGAGAGAGAGAGAGAGAGAGAGAGAGAGAGAGAGAGAGAGAGAGAGAGAGAGAGAGAGAGAGAGAGAGAGAGAGAGAGAGAGAGAGCGAGGCGGGCACAGAGACATTGCGAACACGGTATGGTTGCATGCCTAAAGGTTGAGACATGCCTCAATATCGATGGCATCAAAGCCAAAACAGTGTTGCCAAATGGAGAGGCAATGCCAAATGGAGAGTTGATATGGACGCTGCGAAACCGTCAAGTAGGAAAGTGTTTTGAGAAAAACGGACGAGGGAGTGGCCTGAATACAATAGCAAAGCAAGGCGTATGCAAACCTCATTTGGGTCAGAATGGCGCACAGATGGCTTCACCACAAGGCGACGCTCTCCTAATCGAATCGGCTTGCGAGCAGCTTCAACGACTGCTCTTCTACAGCAGCGGAAAATCATGGAGCAAGGGATGTTGAGGTGAGTTTTGCTTCGAGGAGCTGTAGAGCCGCAAAGGTAGAGTAGGCGGATTGAGAGGGAGGCATTATTTGCGTTGAGCAGCGCAATCGTACCCCGCATTATGTGCCAGGAGATAGGTGACAAATGCCATTTGCTTGTGGCTGTCCACCTGTCCCATTCATGTCGGAAAGGGTGAGGCATGCGTGCATGAGCACCGGCGCGTGGGCCAAAATGGCGAAGATGAACCTACGTGTAGATGTGTAATGTAGCCAAATTTTGAAAAAATGCTGAGGATGTGACGGTAACTGGCCTAGTCAAATCAAGTCCACACAGGGCGGCGATCAAGCAGCAGCACATGGGTTGAGTGGGGCTCGAGCGTCAGAGCGGGTCTGCGTCCGCGTATGAGACTGACCCGACCATCAATGTTGGCAATCATGACGGCGTGCTTGGTATCATTGTGCTGGTAAAAGTCGAGCACCTCCATCATGCCGAAGCCGTCAAGCTTTCAGTTCCGTCCCTTCACCGCATGATCACCCGCGGGCCGTCCGCACCTAGATGCGCTGACACTTTTTTTTCGCAGCGAAAGCAGACTCAACAGTCTATTATAACGCTTCTCAATACAACCATTGACCATAACGGCTCATGGAGATAGAGGAGCAACGGGGCAGGCTGAGAGAAGTCTCCGTACGCCGCTACACCACTGCCTACAAATGCAGGGCACGCTGCCCTTGCCACCCCTGAATGCAGCGCGCGTCCGTCCGTCCCGCGCAGAACCGCTCACAGCCGTCTGACCGGTAAATGCTGACAATTTGCCACATGGAATGTCAGAAAGTTTTATGGGGAATCAATTCGACATGACATGGCTGGCGCAATGCGAACAGCAGCGTTGGGAAGAACACGGGGAGAGAAAGAGAAGACACCAAGGTTTGACGGCGAACTAATACTCAAGAGCGAGACAAAGATGAACAAGGATAGAGGGAACAAAAGACAAGAAAAAAAAAAGCAAACAAAACCAGGCAGGAGGCAAGACATCACGGGAAAGAAACAAACAAGGTCGGGGCATACATTGGGTCACCATTTGTGACGACCAACAGACAAGCCCTTGACAAGAAATGATCCACCAAGTGGCTCCAGGTGCCGGGGCGGGCCAGTCGGTGCTGGCTGGGGGGGGGGGTATGCAGGTTGTTTTAGGTTGTCGTCGTTTACATGCGGATCTTCTTGAGACCATTGCTGCTGTTGGGGCAGTCGATCTTGTTGAACGACTGCGGGGATTCAAAAACGGGGATGAGCCACAGCATGCGAGCCGAAGTTTTGGATTGTGTGCATGCAAGCGTGCACGGGCCAACGCTTTCAAGACGCAGGCACAAGCACAAGCACAGACACGGACACACCTTGTCAAAGCAGTTGTCGGTCTGGCCGTTGCTCACAACCTCGCTGTAGAGGTTAAGGGCAGTCTCAAAATACTTGAGCTCGACCAGGCCGGTGCAGGTACCTGTGGCGAGCGATGGTCCAGCAAAAAAAAAAAAAAAAAAAAAACCGAAAGTGGGACAAGACTCAAAATGAATCTCAATCATCCTGGCCAAGCCAAGCAAGCTGTTCATGTGCAGCTTGGGTCGCCACGGGCAGAGACAGGTGCGTACCGTGCTTGGACCACTCGTGAGCCCACTATCAGATGAAGCAAGAGACAAGACGGGCCGGAAGCCATGAGAAAGGGATACAGTATGAGCATGTGCGTGGGTGCAAGCCGTGCACGTACAAAGTCTTCGTTGCCGTTGTTGCCGACGCACGAGGGCCAGTCTGATTCCATCTGGGTGCGAATGGGCTTGAGGAGATTCACGTCAAAGGCAGAGCCGTTGCACTCTTGAGCCCACTGCATGAGGGAGAGGCGCACAAGACACATCGTCAGCAAAGTATTTGGGCGAGGTTGGAAGGCGACGAAGACTGCATGCTCAAAGGCACGAATTGCTGAGGAATGGGCGACGGGTCAGGATACGAACCTGAGGCCAGAGGCCGTGGATGGTGAGCTGGCCATCACAGACTTGAAGGCGCAGCAGGTAATAGTCGTCCGACTGCCGAGTGCAAGTTTATGCAACACCCCAGCCAAGTGTGAGCGGGAAAAGGAGGCAAGAGCGCCACAATGCTCTGCGTTCATCTTCTCCTCCATTAGCGCTCTCTAACGCCAGGATCGATTCGCCGTCCATCAAGTCTTTAAGCAGGGAGGGATCGTCTTACCGAGGCAGCGACCGCGGCAACAAGGGCCAGGACGCAAAGGGCAAGACGACCAGCAGCCATGACACCTGATGAAGGCAAGCAGCGGTTGTGTTTGACAGGTGCAAAAGACCAACGGCAGTGAGATGAACATGCATGGCGTGGTAACGATGCGGCTGCCTCTTCCTCGGCTAGGGACGGCAGGTGCACTGTACCGGTTTGATCAATCAAATCTCTTTGGAACAACGACGGCGAGCAGCTCGGATCAAGCAGCAGCAACAAGATATCGAGGGTCGGAAAATGCAGACCGCGGTGCCGCGAGCTGCCATAGAGGCGTGGTGGCGGCGGTCGTGGTACTTGTTGCTGCACATGCTCTAGAAGATGTCGACGGATCTGAGGTTTATGAAGATGTTTGGATAGAACATGCAGATCTATTAAGGAAGAATGTGTAATTTTATGTACATTAATATTAAGTAATCGACTAAGATAAGTGAGTTATAGTTGTCCGTTTCACTCTACCCGCGGGTTAAGCAACCAGTCCACCTTGGAGGGACTTGCACACTTGGACACCTTGTGTGCTTGGCGGGCGTTGCATCATCAATGCTCCATAAAGTGTGTAAAACATTACGCTATCGTTAAGCTTACAAGCCAAATCGCTCTTCAGCCAGCTCGTTCACTTGCCCCCTCCAAGTTAAACTGAATGGTGTTGAAAAAGGAGGGGTAAGTTTAATAATCGTGTTGCCAACCAAACCAGTCGTCAGGATTTTATCTGACATTCAACTTGGTTCAAACTGCGTGTGTGTGTTTTTCAAATTTTTCTCTCTCTCTCTCTCTCTTTTTTTTTTTTTTTTTTTTTTTTTCGAGGATCTCGTGACGCTTGTTGGGGGACGCGGGGACGTTGAGCGGTCTGCGTCTTGGCTTTGGTCGGGGTGTATGTGTGGAGGGGGTGACGGCGAGTTCTTGCACGTCAAGTAAGAAGGGTGAGACTTTGTGTGCCATCGGTGGAAAGGGGGGGGGAGCGTGTGAGGCGAGGCGAAGCAGGCACACTCCCATCTTTGAGCTCCTCCTGACTTGCGCGCGCGCACACGCGCGACGACCAACATGGCGATGGAGTATGAAAACTACGATGGCAACATCGACTTTTCTCAGGTGCGTGCTTGGACGCTTGCTTGCCGCCCGTACTTTTCTCTTCCTACCGCCTGCAGAAGCGTCAAACGCCGCGGTGAAATCAGCAGACGCCGACCGACCAACCGGCCGCGCTGCACGTGGACGTGCTGATCGGTTGGTCGGTTGGGTATCTTCACTTTGTCTCCCTTGCGGGCTCATCAAGTTGCTTTCCTGGAATGCCGTTGCACAGGAAGCCCCCATGTCCCGTGTACAACTGCATCCGTGCAGTACTTGTGGTCGTACCTTCAATGAAAAAGCCCTTGTGAGCCACCATTGTCATGGCTCACCCTCCCGTCAGCGATCCGGCTCGGTGCTGAACTTACGATTTCTCAAATCGGTACCTGCTCACGTTTGACAGGGCAAGCATGCTCCCATCTGTTCCAAAACCCATGCCAATGCCGCACGACGCGGTACTTTTAACAGCACTCGCCAGCGTGTCGAGGTTCGGCATTGGCATATCGTGACTCTTGCTGCTCCCTCCCCTCGTCCACAGTTTTTTTTTTTTGTTTCGCATCTTCAATTCATAGCCGACTCCCATGATGGCTGTTGCTAGGAGCTGGAGGTCAAACCGGCCGGTACAGGGTTTCAAGCCAGCGCAACTACCCGACCTGCCAGGTTCGTCTCTTTTGCAGCCTTCACCGCCAACTTCAACGTCATCCCTCGCTCACAAACCGTGCCTCATTCTGCCTTCCAATTTTGCTTGAATATCATACCTGCTAGAACAACACGTACCGTCGCCAAACCCACACGTGCCAAAACCGCGGACACGCGTCCCCCCCCTGAACGCGCCAGCGTTGCTCCTGCCACCTCAAACAAGCCTGCCACAACAAGCAAAGTACGCCCAGCCTCAGCCCAACCGCCCATGCGGGTCTCGAGCTTCAACCCAGGTGTAGTCCCTAACGCCATCATCTTGTCAACAGCAGGGCGACTGGCGCAGTAAACGTGAGCAGTTTTTGGCCAACCTTCGTGCTGCTCGCCAGGTGACGGCGGTAAGTCCCGGTCCACCTCATCGTCACCCTACTCCACGCTGGACCAATACCTCATCTTCCGCCCATGTATGGCCTCGCGCCATCCTTCCTCGATTGCACGGTGCAGCATCTCAAAGCCGGAGGCGATATTCGTGATCTTCCTCCACCCACAGTCGATGAACACCCCGAATATGTCAGCTGCCCTACATGCAACCGTCGTTTCAATGAGGATGCTGCCAAGCGCCACATCAAGTTTTGTGCCGAGCAGGTCGGTCATGCTTACAATTGTCCCCATGCCGGTTCCACGCTCAAAAATGGCTCGCATCACACCGTTTTCAACAAGATTGTCTGTCACCCTGTCATGGACTTCTCGCCTCGCCTTTCTCAACACTGCCTCTCATCTTGGTCCCTTCGTCTTATTGGAATTCTTTCGATGCATAGGCCAAGCGTGCGTCGATAAAGCGGAACGGTTCCACCAAAGGAGGAGCCAAGGCAGAGGCAGTGCGCCGCCGAACCGCTTACAAACCCCCTTGTTCGTCCCTCGCAGCTGCCTTTTGCTCATGCATGCCCCAGGGGCGTAAACACATCCATCGGATTCTGACTGCGGTGATTTTCCACCTTATAGTGCCCGGTGCCAAGAGTTCCAGCTCCAGTGTTCAGCCCTCCCCAGCACACCAACGGTATGTTGAGTCTGACCTGTGACTCTTCCCCTTGGCTAATTTTTTTGTTTTCCTTTCAGCATCCTCATTCAGAAGATACTTTTCGCGCTGCCGTCTCTAGAGCTTATGGTGACCAGCAGGCCCCTTCCATCAATGGTCAAAGGTATGACTCCGAACCCACACCCGAGCGAACATCAAAACCTCAACCTCCATCCTCGGCTGCTCCCCGGTTCGTTTTATCCTCCCCTCCCCCGCCCCCTCCTCCCCCCATCGCTCCATTTGTGGAACCGCTCCCCCAAGTCTGACGGATGATTCATGCCTGTTTCGGTATACATCGATGCTCTTCATGTTTTCCATCATTATGACAGACGACGGGGCGTGCCTGCGGACAGTGGCGCACGTGCAAGCACGGTGCGCCGAACAAATGGCACAGCCAATACCGCTTCTCGTCATGCGGTGGAGGCCCCTTACGCTACAACGTACGGGTTTGGGTGACCAGGACCTGCAGGGTGCGCCCTCATCTCCGTGCGCATTCGTTGTACCAGCTCACATGTCCTGCTTGCTGCGTGTGTTTCAGGGTGGAAAGCTGCTCTGAGCAGGAGACGCCTTCTCCCTCGCCTCCCTTACATCTTGATCTTGAGGCCACGCTGACCAACGGCCATGGTCACAGGTTGGCCCGCCTGCGCCTGATTCCAACAGCCGCTTTCAACGCACACACTCCAAGCGCACGCCCATCACTCTCGACTGGCTTCTGATTGGCTCGCAGCTTGGCATACCCTTTTGACAAGAGCCGGCCTGAACTTGACCACATCATGATGAAATCCTACAAGGACCGCAGTAATCGTGGCGGCAGTGCCTCTAGTATGGGCTCGCGATCTTCAATGCGGTGCGCAGGAATTGGATGCCCCTCGTTCGCTTGGACCACAGATCACGGTTTTTGATCATGTCAAAGCTCATGTGCAATGTGTTTGGCTGTACCCCACCTTTAGCTTGGGGTCCGCTACACGCCCCAAATTTTGTTGTGCATGCGGTGAAAACCTCATGAGTGGCATCAAGCGCTTCTGCAGTACGTTTTGCATCCTGCATGGTTCTGCATCTGCTTCGCAAGCGCCTTTCCCCTTGTCCTCTCATGACCTCCCTACTTTGCAGCCGAGTGCGGCGAGCGTTTTGAGTCCGATCGGCTCAAGTTCTGCGGACAATGCGGAACTCGTCGATGAAATACAACTGGTCGTTTGAAGGGCTGGGCCTTGCCGCAACAACTGGCCGAGCTGGACAACGTGCCATGTTGATCTTCAAAGTTTCTTTACCCCTGATGCTGCCTTCTCAGAGCATGGACGGAGCTTTACTGACCAGCTTGGCACGATATGCAAGGTGCCATCAGCAAGTATTGATTCTTTCATGACGCTTGCCTCCCTACCTCGTTCTGGGATGGAACGACTCCTTCCCTCTGCTTTTTTTTTCTTTTGATGTTTTTTTGGGGGGTTTTTTTTTTCTGTCGTTGTTTTTGCTTCTTCTATGCTCTTTTTAGATGACTAAGATAAGCTTTTGAGCTTTGCCTTCGAGTTGGGCTTTGATTCCTTCTCGCAAATATGATTGCAATCTTGACATGCAAGGCCCAGAAATCTGTGGCACTGGTTCATTCATGTGTCAGATGAGTAGTCCAAAGTTTCCACAAATGTTGTGATGTTGACGTATGAGACAAAAGCAAGATCAATTAACACGCTTCAAATGGGGAGGTCGTAGTGGTACTTTCAAGAACAAAAACCAAAGATCAAGCTGACCGGCATGGGTAGCGCAATGCGCAGTATGCTATGCACCCACGGCATTGAGCACACGTTCCGCAACATTAGCGACCGCACCCACGCCGTCGATGTGAACCCAAGGCGCACTTGTGGGTGGGGGTGGCAAGGTGAGTTTCTCAAACTTGCTAGCGTTCATATCGCTGGCATCTCGTCCAGAATCTCGAAGCCGAATTCTTTCGAGCAGGGTTGCGCGCGGTACATCGAGCCAGATACCTATGCAGCACGGTCAAAGCATCATGCCACTTTTGGATGAGCCAAAAGCACGTCCGCAGTCGTCAAGCCTGTGGCGCAGCCAGCTTGATGTATTTAGTCGAGCTTTAGAAACTTGCATTGCCTTTGAGCATCACTTACACTTGACAGGCGCACCACGCAAGTCATTGATAAACTCGCGTTGCCACGTATCCTGAAACGTAGCGTCCAACACGACACCGCAGCCAACAGCAATCAAGTTATTGGCCAATTCAACCAGGGCGGCATAGCACTGCCGTCTCGCTGACTCGACATAGTGAGCATCAGAAAGGCGAGTCTCTGACGAGACACCCAGCATCTAATAAAGCAAGGGGTATGGGTCGGACATTGTCAAAGTCTGGCAAACACTGCCGAGCCTCCATTCATTACCCTTACCCGCTTTCGCACAATGTCACTACGGACGTGAATGGCACCGATTCCGCTCCCAATGCTGCCGGCCAACTCTGCCGCAACCGTGGATTTGCCTACAACAGCGTTTGTCCACCAAAGCCCATTGAGCCTATGCGCCACCAATGGGCGGCCCTAGCTCAAGGTATGCTCACCAGAGCCGCTGTTGCCAGCAATCACGACAATCACAGGGGGTGGTGCCGCTAGCAAGCTTAGTGCAAGCTCAGTGTAGATTTGAGCTTCTGCCTGCAAACACAGAGCATCATGGGTAGTGTGCCATATGCACGCCTGTCAAGGCCATCCATTTACACCAACTTGCACCTTGCAAGTAGCAAGAGCAGAGGCCGACAATCACATACTGATGGCTTGTGGTGATCGCCTGGCGGAAGCGCCGGTGCGGATGCACAGGCCACCTACTTGCCAGCACCACACAAGCACAAAGTGTGCACCTTGAGTTTTTTTTTTTTGCCATTTTGTCCAATGATAACCACCTTTGACCTCGAGACCCTACCTTTGCACGAATGGTTGCTCGCGTACTGGTATACAGGCGCAGTAGATGCACGTCTTCATAATCACCCGTCTCAGCCAAATAGCTGTCAAAAAGCGCTGAAAGTCAGTTGTTGGCACGCAGTGGGACGCAAAGTTTCCTCAGCGTGGGTGACGGGCAACACACCGATTCAAGCAGCGGTTGGCCAATTTATTGAGGCCAAGATGCTGCAGATCCATCAGAAGGAAGGCCAGGTCATAGAGCACGTCGATTCGAGTCAGGTCGTCGTTGAAGCTGATGCAGTCAAACAAGTATACTTCGTCTATATCAGTGGAAGGCCGTTGGGGACGTGGCCCATATGAAACAAAGAAGTGAGAGAACGACTCAAAATAGAGACGCCCTTTGAGTGGCGTGCTTCCGATGGGCATCGCCGCACATCTTGAAGCCCACCACGTCCGTACCATGAAGAATCACAATGTTGCGCGTGTGCAAGTCGCCATGGCAACACCGAACGTGGCCCTCCACCTGCCGGCGCTGTAGGCTGGGGCGAGCGGCGTCCAGCGCAATAGCTTGCTGCTGTGCCAAGCGTTGAACGCAGTCGAGGGAAACCAATCCTTCCTGAAAGGAACGTAACGTGGGTGCGATGAACGTGCGCTGTTGCACGACTGGCATGGGGCCAAGGATAGCCGAGTGAACGTGGTGCAACCTCAGCAAAGTGTAGGAGTTCCTGTGTGTTGTCGGTGACAATCCAGTCCATTTGCTTGACGTAGTCTTCGTCGCGAATCAGCTCACACTGGGCATGAATACGCACCAGCGCGTCAGTCAACTGTGTGCATAGCGGTGGTGGTGGTGAGGGAGGGGTGGGGGGAGCGAAGCAGACAAAATGTAAGAGCAACAACAAAGGGCAGCTAAGGACGGAGGGGGAAAGGTTTGTGTATGGAGGACGGAGGCACCCGAAAACAGTTTTTGCTTCTAGTTTTCCCATCCTGACTTGTGCCTCAGCAGCCTGACCATATCTAGGTGTTTGGGCTGGAGTTGGCCTCGAGCAGCGATGGCGCTCATGAGGGCATCCTGGGGAAATTGGTGCATGACGACCAAGTACTCTGCATTCTCGCCCGACGACTGTAGATTGGCAGTGTCTTGGGAATTTGCATCATCAGACGGCTCTGCAACCCAAGGAAGGGACACAAAAATGAGCTGCATTGCGGGTAAGGGCTGTAGGCACAGGCAAAGCGGTCATCGAATAAATCTCGTACCGTTGGTAGTCAAGATCATGATCGGGGGCGTGAATTGACCTGTGGCTTGACCGTTTGCGTCCACTTGAATGCTTGTGCGAGCCAAACCTCGATAGAGCTCTGGGGTATATTGATGATTTCGAACGTACTGCAGTATTACGGTGAGGCGGAAATGCAAACAGCATGATCGGCAGAGTCGCTTGATGGAGGTACGAACCTCGATCTGCGTGGTGGAGCGTCGCCGCTCAAGCGTGCCCAGGTTCATAAACGGGAAGAAAATGGCCTTTTGCAGCTGTGTATCCCAGCACACCAGCCCATGATGCGCACAGTTTGAACAAATGCCCCGCCATCAAGAAGCACAACTGCACGTGGGGCGACGGGCGAAGGGCATTTGCGAGGGATGTCCTGGGGTAAGCTGAACTGGGTCGTATTACTGAACGTACCTTGAGGGCAATGGTATCACCCAAGAGAAAGACATGGGCGCAGTGGGTCTCAATGTGAGTAATTTTGAAATCAGTCCGATCCTTGAGGCTAAATTGATCGTTTCCAAGTCCACGTGCACAAAAATTAACCAGCGGCGATGGCACAGGCCAGTGTGGTGAAAGCGACGGGGGCAGTGAGGGATCTTACGGATCACCGAGCTCTGTCAGCAGGCTCTTGTAGACGGAGGGCTGCTGCAAGTAGGCAACCAGCTGAAAAGAAAAGAAAAGGCAGGGGATGGCCCAGCTTGCATGAGTCGGCGCTGAGCTGCATGTAAATCTGGCTCAACCAACTACCAGTCTTGAGCCCTGGCTAGATGCAAGCTCGGATGTCAGGTGGGCATCCACACATCTTCAAATCCCATCCGAGTTCAGGTCCAAGTAGTTCCTGCAAAGCCCTCATACCTGGGCTTGGATCGCCTGCTGTTCGGGCAGACCCCAAGTCGACGCCGGCATGGCGCATGGGCAGTTTCGGCACACTGTGCAAGCGCGATGTCTGCCGAGTGGAAATGGCAGATTGCACGACACTTTGGCCTCAAACCCGAGACAAGCTATTGCTATTAAAGCCAATTCACGTGAGTCCCCTCCCCGCCCCGAGTTGCATTTGCCGTCCAGCGCGTGACACCATCGATGGCGACGCCACTGACATCAAACATCCGCACGGACAAGCAGCAGAAAAAAGACAAAATTGAATGCTATTTCTCTCTCTGTGCCTACTTCTCTCACTCTCTCTCACTGACACAGACAGGGACGCTCCATTCATTTTACTTTATGATAACACTGCACTGTATTGCTGGAAGACGCATTACCATTGCTGCTACAGGACCCTCGGGGAAGATGTGCGCATAGCGTCTGCGACCGCCGGGGACCTGGTTGACCACTACGTGATGATGATGATTACACAGAGACACCAGCAGCAAGATTGATTGGCAAGCAAGCAAGAAGATGATGCCAGATAATGGAATATTACCACGCGTAGGAGAAAGAAGCACATCAGGATCGCACTCAAGCTTGAGCCGTCACTTGGCTAGAATCGGTAAGAGAGAGCACAGCAGGAAGAGAGATAGATAGAGAGAGAGAGAAAGAGAGAAAGAGAGAGAAAGAGAGAGAGAGAGAGTGAGAGAGAATGAATTGGTTGAGAAAGAGAGAAATAAAGAGCAAAGACACAAAGGAAAAGCACGACTACCACATGTAACAACAACAGGGAAACAAAAGGAACAAACACCACTGAAAAGCAACAACCAACGACAACACTGAAAAACAACAGCAGAACACCAATACCCACCAAGAAGGGAGTCCACCCCTAAGGGTGACTCATGGTTCTCATAAATAACGGTAATTTACTGGCTGAAAGGACTCTACACCCAAAGCCCCCGCCCAAAGTGGCGCACCAACATGTCCTTGTTGGCAATGTGCAGGGTCGCCGTGAGCCGCTCCTTCCAGCGTGCAGCGAGAGAGTGAGAGTGAGAGTGAGAGAGAGAAGTAGTAAACTACCACGTTGTAGTACTACAGACAGCTGAGAGGTAACGAGAGAGAAAGGCGGGCATGCATGCACCGATCCGGGTTACCAAATGTAAGAACATCACTGGCTTCGACGTGCACATGTTGGAGCCGCACTTTTCTTCGTCTCGGGTAAGGCTTGATGGAACCAGGAAGGGCAGCGCCGCACGGTTCTGGGGTGTGTACCGTGCGAAAAGTATCGAAGAGGGGGTAGCTTTGGATGAGCCCGTGGCATTTAATGGCATTGTAGCTAGCCTCGAGCCTTGCCCCTCTCGTTCTCGAGTGACAAAGGGGTTTTTTTTTTTTTTGCGTGCATGCGTTGAGCTGTTCACGTGGAGTGCGTGTCAGCACCCGAGTGTTATCCGTGGTCGAAACACACACTCGAGTGGGTGGAGGCTTTGGTCTGGTTCGGCTCATGGATATGTCTGCCAACGCTTCGTATCTGACCTCCTCCTTCTTAGACGGTTCATTTGCGCACACGCTCTCTTCTTTGATCTTCACCGCACCGCAATCATGGCTCTTAGTGCGTAAACTTGGCCGCTCTCGTCAGACCTGCATGTTACGCTCCTGGTTGCACATCTGATCGAGTCCTGCCCGCTCGCACTTCTGCCTCGTTCTTAGGCAAGGGAGTTTTGCTGGGTATGGGCAACCCGCTCTTGGACATTTCCGCCCACGTCGACGAGGCCATGCTGGCAAAGTTCGTTTGAGAATGGCACCGTGCTCTGTCAAATCTTTCTTTTCAAAGATGTTACAGTCAATCCAGCCAGTCTGCGTGTTATCATTGGTTGCTGACGCCCCTACCCGTCTGGCTTGGTCTTCTTTGCGCTGCACGCCGGCGCGACTCGTCAAATATTTGTCTTTCCAAAGATACGATCTTAAGTCCAATCTTGCCATTTTGGCTGAGGAGAAGCATCTGCCCATGTAGGTGGCTCATTGGCTGTCATCGAGGGTCGGTCTATCGACGAGATCATGTGGCAACCAATAGCAGGTCTTATCGTATCTCATGCCAGCCTGCCGTTTGTTTGATATGCAGCTACCAGGAGCTCGTGGACAACTACGCCGTGGAGTACATCGCTGGCGGCGCCACTCAGAACTCGATCCGCGTCGCCCAGTGGATGCTGAAGGAGCCCAAGACCACCGCCTTCATCGGCTGCGTTGGTACGTCTCTGACCTTTTCAGCAGTCCATATGTATTTCGTTGGGCTGAATTTCACTGCCAGCGAAACATTTGACATCAATCTCTCTCTGCCCTGTCATGCGTGCAGGCAAGGATGATTATGCCAAGCAGCTCGAGACTGCCGCCGGCGGGTGCCACGTCGACGTCAACTACATGTACGATGAATCTGCCACTACAGGTTTGTCACTTTGCTCTCTGTTTCTTCGACTTGCATGCGGAAAGGAATGGGATTCATAAGCGCCTCGACTATTCATATTGCCGCGATTGTGACCGATTTGCGTCACCATGACCTTTCTTCTTTTGAATAGGCACTTGCGCCGTGCTTGTTACTGGCAACGAGCGTACTCTGGTGGCCAACATCGCTGCAGCCAACAACTACAAGGCTGAGCACTTGGAGGAGAAGGTTCGCTGCCCTCGAATGCATCCGCCAAGTTGCTTCATGGTATTCATAGTACCCACAGCGCCGTAAATCTCATCACTGGGGTCACATGGTCGGACGCAGCACATTCAAGAGTTGATCGACAATGCCCGATTTTTCTACATTTCTGGCTTTTTCTTGACCGTCTCGCCGCCCTCCATCCTTCGCGTGGCCAAGCACGCTTGCGAGAAGGAGAAGGTTTGTTATCACAACTCTAGACCACGCGCACTGCGTTTCACCTCAATATCTCTCACACATTTGCACAAATGTGTGAATCCTTCATATTAGATTTTCTCCATGAACCTGGCTGCTCCTTTCATCAACCAATTCTTCAAGGAGCCTCTTCTCCAGGCCCTGCCTTACTGGTAAGTTCAACATAGTCGTGATGAATGAGATTCGCAGATTCGCAATGAATCTTATTCATCATTAATTTTCTTTTTCAATGTCCTTGCCTGACTTGCTGTCATTGATGAATTTCGCCTTCAGTGATTTTGTTTTCGGTAACGAGTCTGAGGCCGCCGCCTTTGCTGAGGCCAATGATCTGGGCACCACGGACGTCAAGGAGATTGCTCTCAAGATCGCTGGTCTTCCCAAGGTACCTTTTTCTCATTTGACATCATTGTCTTGCTTGATCAACTTGCTTCATCCCATCTTCTTCTCTCATGTCGCGGTCTGCTTTTCCAACCTTCATCTGCGTTCATGCTTCCAGGAGGGCAAGCGCGCTCGTGTTGCCGTCATCACTCAGGGACCGCACCCGACTATCATTGCAACTGAGGGCAAGGTAAGAAAAATAGTTGCTTCATCATCATGACTTTACTTTTGCTCTTTGCGAGCAACACAAATGGGTTGGGCAGATTCAAATTCTCATCTCGTTTGGGTCGCCAGATCACCGAGTATGGCGTGGACGCTGTGACGGCGGACAAGATTGTGGATACCAACGGTGCTGGCGATGCGTTTGTCGGTGGCTTTCTTAGCCAGCTTGTTCAGGACAAGCCCATTGATGTAAGCTTCAAATGCATAAATCGCTTGGGACGATATTTACTCACGCCGATCAATGACCGTCTGGGTAGGAGTGCGTGCGTGCGGGTCACTGGGCGGCGCAGCTGATCATTCAGCGCTCAGGCTGCACCTACCCCGCGACGTGTGACTTCCAATAAATGTCTTGTTTGGTTGCCATCCCAACCTTTAAAAAACAAATTCTCACTCAAGGAGTGAGGGTCTCGAAATCAAAAGGTGTTTGCGAAGTGTTGAATCATGACTTGAAGGACTAGGCTGAAACCCATGAGTAACTCGAAAGACAAGGAGACAAGGAGACAAGGAGATACGAATCCCCAGGGGACGGTGACGTGAGGACTGCGACAATAATGTTAGAGTGTGTACAGGTTCCAGGGAGGTTGGGGGGAAGAATACAATGGGCTCAACCAGCCAAACATGCGCTCGTGCCATATGAATCAAAGGGGTAGTGAAGGACATAATATTCGGGAATTTTTGCAAGTCATGCCAACACCGGCAATGTGTCGTCGTCATGCTTTTAGTGCCACACGTGACAAACAGTTATGTCAGTGGGTCTCTGGGGGTCGTGGTCGGGGGTGCGTAGAAGCAAGCGCGTGCTTTTGACCAGTAGCAAGCACCGCACTTTGTGCACGAGTGAAAAAACAATGTCACAACCAAAATATGTTCACGAGGATGTATCGTGATACAATTTCAGTCGTTCGAAATGGTATCTTGTTCTTTCAAGCTCTTCCATGCGTGTGGAGACAAAGAGAGAGACAAAGAGAGAGACAAAGACAGAGAGAGGAGAGAGAGGAGAGAAGAGAGAGAAGAGAGAGAGAGAGAGAGAGAGAAGAGAGAAGAGAGAAGAGATAAAAGATTCCGAGAGAGAAGAGAGAAGATTCCGAGAGAGAAGAGAGAGAAGAGAGAGAGAGAAGAGAGAAGAGAGAAGAGAGAAGAGAGAGAAGAGAGAAGAGAGAGAAGAGAGAAGAGAGAAGAGAGAAGAGAGAAGAGAG